CCCCTCACACCGTGGACAAGGCAAGAAGGGCCCCCCCCCCTCACCGTGGACGGTGAGGAAAGAAACGGACGGGAGGAGCAGCGCCTCCGCCGCCGCCGCCACCGACTCCTCCCCGAGGCCTGCGCGCCTCTCTTTCTCTCTCGGCCAGACTCGGAGGCCACTCTCCACACAGAAGCGGCATCTTTTGCCACGCTCCCCGCCAGGCAGGCAGGGCGCCGTCTGGGCGGGCTGGGTGAGGGGCCAACGGTCGCCCGGCGGGCTGAGGGGAAATGAGGGGGGCTCTCTGTTATCTGGCGAAGCAGGCCGCGACTTGGCCCTGAGGCCGCCGCCCGTCGCTGTCCCACCGCCCGCCCGTCCCCCTCAGCCGTTCCCTCCCCTCAGGACGCGGGCCCCGCTCTTGACCGCGCGCCAGGCCCCACCTCCTGCTGCCGCCGCCGCCTCGCCGCCTCGCCGCTTCCCTTCCAGCGCGGGGCAGAGAACCCTCCACGCGACGCATCCCCGCTCCGGCCGCGCCCATTGGTGGCGGCTCCTCCGCTCCCCTCCGTCTCTCCGGCCTGCGTCACTCTCCCTCCTCGCCCCGCCCACAGAGCCCGAGGCCAACCCGGCGCCCCGAAGGAGGCCCTCTCTCCTGATTGGACGCTCCCGTCCAAAAGACAGCCATCCCCGCGCGGCGGCCCCTCCTCCTTCCCGACGCCTCAGCCCTTCAGGGAGAGGGGAACCCGGATTGGCTCCTCCTTTGGTTTCCAGGGAGACACGTTCCTGTCGCGAAGGCGGAAGCGGGGGCGGGGTTGGGGGGAGGCCAATAGCCCTGCGCGCGAGGACGCCGGATGGGGACGCTTAAATCTGGCCAATAAACGGTGGCGGACGAAGGCGTTCCCTCAAGGCGATGACGGGCTGAGGAGAGGAAAGCGAATCGCTGCCTGATTGGACGCGAGCGGGGACGACGGGAAAATACAAAACACCCCACGGGGGGGTTGCGACCAATGCGGTGTCGGCAGCCCGTCTACCTGCTTTGTCATTGGAGACCTGCCTTGTCACTCTGGCAGATGGGAGGTGGAAGGGGGGAAAGTGGTCCTCAGTTGCCTGCTTATTCGTTGAGGTTCTTGTCACTCAAGGGGGAAGCGGAAGCGGTGAGGGTGGTGGAAGGAACATGGAGGAGGAGGCGGCGGCGCGGGGTGAGTGGGCGACGAAGCAGCGTCTCAGTTCGTGGGGATGGATGCGACCCCACTGGGGGGGTCCGCTTGGCGCCTCGGGTGGGGGAACGACAGGAGAGAATTCCACAGAAGGGTTTCCTCTGCGTTCATCCTGGAGTGTCTGCAGCTAAGATCGTTATCAGTGGGGCGACGTTTTGCCCTATGCCCTGTCCCTCCCTGGTCACTATAATCATCATCATCATCATCGCAGAGCTAGAAGGGACCCCCAGAAACCATCGAGTCCAGCCCCTGTTAAGGAGGCCCAGTTGGGGGTGGGGGGAATCGAACTCGGGAGATGCCTAAACCCCTGAGCTGTCCACAACGGCTTTCCTTTAAAATATTATTATGTCCACTAGTGACTAAGCAATAGTACAGTACATAACCGTAGCTGCATAATTCAGGGGTGCTTCCTGACATGTGGAATCCATCTCCATGAAACAGTGCAGAGGTGGTCGGAAATAATGGACCCATTTTAAATTCAGATTTCCTGGGAGGACACAGGTTCACACCCCCAGTTAGCGACCACACTTACTAGGTCACCTTTTCTGTTCTTCACGGAGTTGTAAGGGAAAGTTGAAAACATGCAAGTCGGAAATAATGGACCCATTTTAATTCAGATTGCCTGGGAGGACCCAGGTCCACATCCCCAGTTAGCGACCACACTTACTAAGTCACCTTTTCTGTTCTTCATGGAGTTGTAAGGGAAAGTTGAAAACATGCACGCCACTCATAGCTCGGTGGAGAAAAGCTTTTAAAACAGATTGACAGATTTTGTTGCAACAAGTGCCACTGGTCCTAATTTTCAGTCAGTGGTCGAAGGAAAAATATTCATGTGTGGACAAGTGCTGAGTCCAAACAGGTAGTCCAGCTGTATAGGTCCATCTCAAAGACTAGTTTTTAGGAGTTCCCTCTTCATCAGTTTCATTATAAAGGCAGGCAGTCTAAATTGTGCACTCAAGACCAACAAAAGCCACTTGAAAATACTTTTCAGTGCAACAGGTGGCTTATAGCAATATAACCTCTGACAATTGAGCAAATTAAGAGAGAGCAGAAATGCTTGTAGATGACAAATTACATGGCTGCCCTTGCTGAATCTTTAAATACTAGGTACTGTATTCATTAAATACGTACTAGGTATTCAAATCTGCAAGGTGAGGCTCCTCTATACCACTTATTAAATTGACGGCAATGTCATGTTCCTATCTTTATACCAGAATATTTTGATGTAGTATTTTATCTGGGACTATTAAAAGTATCAGAGAGAAAGAATCACAGGTATACCAAAGCCTGTCTCCAGAGATGTTTGGTTCTAATCTTAATCAAAGGAAGGAAAAGGCTCCCACAATGTTACCTCTTGTTGAATTTGTGATGATTTCTGCCAAGGTTATGGGAGGCTTGATATCCATTAGAAGTTCTTGGCCTTTTCCACTCAGCTTGCTTTCTTCCCTGGTAGAGTGCCAACAATCCAGTTCTTCAATATCCATCCCTTAATATCCATTAATGTGTCTTCTGAGAAGATGGTATCAATTGTGTCTAACTTAGTAAGGAGCTTCCAAATATTTTCTTTCGGTCTGTCTCTGTAAATGCTACAGGAAGTTCCAGGGTGACTCAGGTAGTTCATAATTATTCAACATTGCATCCTGAGTTTGTGATCACTTAATAGTCGTGTTTACATTTTGCATCCTGGATTTCTTGCACAAAGTAAATGGCTGAAATACCACAAATTCCAAGCATGTTGCTTTAGAACTGGGTTTCCATTAAACTTAGCAGAAGTATTGTAGTTAGTTGTAGAAGTGCTGCTGTTACTCCCACTTTTCTATTTTTATTATTTTAAAAAACTGTTGTGCTAAAGACATGATTATGTGATCTGTATAAAATAAGATCCTTGCTATCATCTCCTGCTTTCTTCAAAGTAGCAAAAATGTAATGAAATCGTATGTGCTGGATTTGGGCACTAGTACCTGTAGTCGTAATGAAACTGTGCTGCAACTCAATTTAAATTTTAAAAGTGCCAACCCATTCTCCAAATTAACACTTCATTTTCTAAATGACAATTCCATCCCCTGCCATTATTTTTTTCAGACTTGCTGGCCCAAATATTGGGTGAGGGGCAGGGGATCCATGCATTTGTCTTGTTTTTAACTACGTAGAAATCATAGGACACATTGTAGGGCGGTCTTTCAAAAGAGGTACAGTAAAGGTAAAGTCCAAATAAATTAAGAAAATGATCCCAAATTGCAACGAAGTGGGAGTTACGGAGACACATCTTTTGCAGGGCTATGCCTGTCCCTCCTGTGGTGTAGCATGAAGCAGGAGAGGAATGCGGACTCAGTGTACAACTCCTCCCATTTAGGGCCTGGTGCAACTTTTTAAAGCATGAAGCCGTGGCCTCTTCTCATTTTGTTCACCTTTTGCCAATTTTCCATTATGCAACACATCTAGATGTCTTACCTTGGTTCTCATGTATCTTTTAGAGAGGGGCAACCTGGCTGGGGTCCAGCACATCATTCTGGTCCTCTCTGGGAAAGGGGGAGTTGGAAAGAGTACCATCTCAACAGAGCTGGCCTTGGCTTTATCACATGCTGGGAAAAAGGTATGTTCTGTTTGTAATAGTCTTGTTCATGAGTTTTTCTCAGCCTGGGGTGGGTGTGCTTCTGCCGTCGCCCTTATTTTAATAGATTTTTTTTTACACTAAAACAAGAGGCCGGCAGCTTTTCTTGGAGGAGAAGCAGGCTCATGAAGAATCACCTCTCCCTTGCAGAGAGTTCAAAGTGTGGGGTAGCCTTTTTACTGTGCCAACTCCAGCACCTGTAGGACCAGCCTTGAGGGTGACAGGTTCCTTGTGATTTACACAGTTCTTAACTAGCCCACCCCCCTTTTTTCTTTTTTATTTAACCAAACAGCAAAGTATCACAAAGCGGTGATTAGGCAAACTGGAATGTGACTGACCCAACTGGTTCCTGGAAGCTGGATCTCTTGCTGAACTGGAGCATACGGGATCAGGGATATAACTCAGGGCAACTAGAGAACTAAATTCCTGCCAGTGGGAAAACATAATTGGAGAGTGGCATGTGCTCACCTGTTTCCTGCCTAGGTTTTTTGCTCTTCGTCTTTGGGTCACATATGGCTCTAACACGACTTTTTCTTCCCTATACCTACCTACACACACTGCTAAGGAACAAAATTGCTAGCATTTATCGATTAGTTAATAAGCATGAAGGCTGGCAGCCATGACAGAGATGAATCAAAGGGATGGGTCAAGAACTTGTCCTAGCCAAAGAATTTGCATCAGCAACATATCACTGCCTGAATCTCTCTTCTTGGACTATCTCGCTTAGGGCTTATCTGATGCTGCCTTGGCTTTTGACCGATAAAGACACCAGACTGAATCCTTTTGTGCAACTCCACATTCATAAAGGCTGATGATGTCATAAACCACAGACTTTAATTTTTAATTTAAACTTTCCTATCCATTCCCTTCATGTTCTGAGGCTCCATAAGATCCCCTTCAACCTGGGAAAGCCTTGGAAAGCCTTTTAGTATCTGAATATCATTGCCACTGGTCCCACAACCAGCCAACCATTGGATTTAACTCCCTGTATTATAATCATCTGAAAACTGGAGATCATGCAGTCCAGCCCTTGTCAAGGAGGCCCAGTGGAGAATCGAACTCCCAACCTCTGGCTTTGCAACCAGATGCCCAAATCAGTCCTGATAACACACTTGTCATTGGAGTGTAGATGCTTATATAGTCAAAATTGCACTATTGGCCCCACAGAGCAGGGGTGTCAGTGGCTTGGGGAATTACTAAAAATACACATATAAAGGAATGCACTTATAAAGAAAAGAATAAAAGGCTTGTGAGGAAAAAGCCCCAAAGAGCTTAATAAGGGTTGAATATGTTCACGGTGCACAATATGCAAACTGATGGAGGGGAAGGAATGCAGTGGAAGGAATTAAATGGAGCCTCCTTTAAGAGGACACGGCAGACTGCAACACTGTAGGAAGCACTGGACAGTGGTGGTTGTTTTTCAGAGCCACCTTATCCTCTACACCTTAGCACAGTGTATAGGCTGCCCCTGCAGCCCCTGCATGTATTTGTGGCTCCCAGCCTCTCTCAATTGAGAAAAATAAGATTTTGATTAGAAGAGGGGAACTGCTAGTCACAAGGGGTTTCCCATAAAGGCACGGTCTTATGTTAGTGAAAAGCTGCATTTAATTTTGACTAAAAGAATGGCCGTGGTCTCTTTAAAAAAAAACATTGAAACATTTCTGGAGGAGCTTGGCCCCCACATCTGACCTACCATTCCTGACCACCTATGTTTAGTTTAATGGTCTCAGTTTGAGGCTTTAGCACAGTCGTTCTAACAGAAGTAGGTTCTGTCTTCTTTCTGTACTGACTCCTCAAAGATTTGTCATTTCCATGTATTCTATTTGTATTCCAATGTAGGTCGGGATCTTGGACGTGGACCTGTGTGGCCCCAGCATCCCTCGCATGCTCAATGTGCAGGACTGTGATGTCCACCAGTGTGACAGTGGATGGGTCCCAGTCTTTGTTGACCAAGACAAAAGCATTGCTCTCATGTCTATTGGCTTTCTTCTGGAGAAGCCGGATGATGCTGTAGTCTGGAGAGGACCAAAGAAAAATGGTACGGGATTTATTTTTATTTTTTGCCTTTACTGCCTTGCATTTACTCCTGTAATGAAATTCCTTATTAAGCCAACAGAAGAAGAATTAAACAGAAACTTGGAGGTGCTCAGCGGTGGGGGGTGGCACAGGTTTATATTCTTCATATTGTGTTTTGTAGTTATTCTGTAAAGTATGCACTTCTTCAGTAATAAAATTAGAAGTGTTTAGGATTTAGGGAGGCAGCCATGCATCTGTCTTATTTGTACCTGAGTGGATAGCTATGGCTTTCCAGATGCTTTGTTTTTGTTTAGAGCTGCCATCAATCCTAGCCAGCAGATATAATTATCAGTGATTATGAGAGGTGAAGGTCCCAGATCTTTTGGAGAAGCCAACGCCTACACATTCACTAAGTTGCTGTTGTGGAGGGACAGTTTACAGAGGCTCTGTAAGTGATGGCTCGCTCACACATGGAGGCAGAATATGAGTTTCTCGGGACCTTGCCCCGAAATCTCTCCAATGTGCACCTGTGTTTACAATATGGTAAGCAGTGATATAAACATGAATAGGCATGTGCAGACAACCTTAAAAACTGACAATCTTTTTTTAAAAAAAATGTTTTTAAAGGGAGAAAAACATTGGATCAAATCACAGGCCCAAAGCCTGAATAAACACAATGGATATTGTCAGCTGAAAGTCCCCAGTTGAAAGTCCTTGAGAGTTCTAGGTTTGGAGTGGAATCACTAAGAGGGCCATCCCGTAACTTCCTGTCCCTGTGCTCCAGTGATATTGGTGTGTGAGAAAGAAGAGATCTTCTTTGAGTTTCAAAGATAGGATCATAAAATCATTGACTTAGAAGGGGCCGATAAGGCCATCAAGTGCAACCCCTTCCACGCTGCAGGAATCCCCACTTGAAGCAGATCTGACAGATGGTTGTCCATTTTTTTTCTTGAATTCCTCGTATGTTGGAGCATACCCCACTTCCCGAGGTAATTGGCTCTATTGTCCTACTGATCTAAAGACTCGGGCAATTTTGTACCAGTGACATTTACAGATAGAGACATCATGAATGGTTACTTAGGTTAGGTGTCCTTCAGTCTCAAGAGACTATAGTAACGTGCTCTGCATAGAGGTCTTGGAACAGTGTCTAGTGTGGCTGAGAAGGCCAATTCGAGAGTGACAATTCCTTCCATGCAGAAGACATATACAGTCTGCCCCGCCCCCGTCCAGCTCTCTGATTTTGCTGGTTTCAGGACTGCCTCTTTGCCTCAGCCTGCTGGACAAGGGTCTCTTCAAATTGGGAGAGGCCATGAAACACCATCTGCCTCCAGGCTGTCAAGGTTTCCCATCGGCTGAGGTCCATTCCTAAGGCCTTCAGATCCCGCTTGCAGATATCCTTGTATCACAGCTGTGGTCTCCCTCTGGGGCACTTTCCCTGCACTAATTCTCCATACAGGAGATCTTTTGGAATCCGACCCTCAGCCATTCTCGCGACATGCCCAAGCCAATGTAGATGTCACTGTTAGATTCTCTTGAATTCTTATCCAAAGTGATATATTGTGCATGATGTACTTCTGTGTTTTATAGCTTTGATTAAACAATTTGTGACTGATGTTACTTGGGGAGAACTCGATTTCTTGATTGTGGACACACCCCCTGGGACCTCTGATGAGCATATCTCCATAGTAGAAGCCCTTCGACCTTATAAGCCTCTTGGGGCAATTCTGGTTACAACGCCACAGGTATGTGCTGCTGTCTTGGGTTTCTGGACTGTTGCCTCAACCGTTGGCCTTGTACATTTTGTTGAATAAGTGAAAATTGCATGGACTTTTAAAACTAGGACAAATACGTTGCCTGCGACTAGAAAATAATGGAAGCTTTAGCTAAACAGCCAGTTATTGTATTACATACATTTGTATCCCCTGTGCAGAGGATCTAGTTGGGAACATGAAGCAGTGTCTTGAAGTCACCCAGTAAGTTTCATGGCTCAGTTGGGAGTATCTTGGATAGCCCAAATTCCAGTACAACACATGGTTACACCAGGGATATTTGCACGTCTTGACCAACTTTGTTACTTCCAACTAACATTCCCTTTAAGGTACGCAGGCACACAGCGCTGCATCAGGTACGCACCGCCAAGCTGGTGTTTTCACCCATTTGCTTCCAGTTGCAGCCCATATCCTGTGCGCAGGGGGTAGAGCCTTAGAACAACACTTCAGAAAATTAGAGGGAATGTTGCAGTTCCAACCCAATATGTAACTCTCTTCTTCTTGTAGGCGGTGTCTGTAGGGGATGTGAGGCGAGAGCTAACATTTTGCAAGAAGACAGGATTACGAGTCCTTGGGATTGTGGAGAACATGAGTGGGTTCATCTGTCCACACTGCACGGTGAGAACTGCATGCTTAGCTGAACAAGTTTGCTCATATGAGTGATAAATGCATTCCATTGCATCAAAGGTGGATTGTTAGGTTGCCTGTACTTGGGTATCTGATACAATTCATGATGTCCACTGCTTTCTCAAAGTTACTAAAATGCCACAAGGTGAGAAAGTCATGATTCTGTATCATGTGTCTTGTTTCTTTAAAATAAATAGCAGATGAACAGTCCCAGTGTGAATTATTCCCTTAAAAGCTGCTCTTTGCTGCAGGAAAGAAATAGCAGCTTCTCCTGGTAGAAGGGGAGGGAGATGTTGTGCCATCAAGCACCCTGCGTGGGATTTTCAGAGTTTTGTCTCTTGTTATGGAGGTTGCTAGTTTTTTTTGAGGGCCACCATGTAGCAGCAGAGACTACTAGTCCCATGGAGCTTAAAATGTCACATCCACTCTCTCCTTCTGCAATGATTGTAGAGAAGAAAGTGTTTGCCTCATAGATGTATGTCGTAAAACTCCTCTGAGGACTTGGATTTTTTGGCTACAAGCGGGAGAATTCTGGAAGAGGGAATTCCTGGTGAATTGTGTAAGTTGTGGTGGAAAACAGTCCACGAATCCAATGGCTATCAAGCACTGTGCTGTCCATTTACTTCCTCGAGACAAGGATCCAAAGTCTCATCCTGGGAATGTTATCCCAACAGATCGCAGATGAGAAATGTGTAGCAGTCCAGACGTTGGACAGCAACTTGTACTAGACCCCACCAGTGCTGCTAGTGCTGAGGAATGATTGGAATTGTAGTCCGACAGCATCTGGAAGGCCAAATATTTTTCATCTTTGGTTGACGTCCTCTTCTCTAGTAAAGGCCTAAATTCAATAGCTGCTGAATCTGTAGGATTTATGTAAATGCTTAATTACTGTTAATTTAATGGATAATATCTACTTAAGAGGTAGTACTTTGATGTAGACTGAAGTGTCTGTTGCCTCTGTAGTTAAACTTCCTCTTTTTATTCCAGGAATGCACAAATGTATTTTCCAAAGGGGGTGGTCAAGAGCTGGCCAAACACTCTGGGGTCCCACTCCTTGGTGAGTACTTCAATTAATCCAAAGGCCCTCTAGGAAAAACGTGTGGCAATATGTTAAGATTTTTGATGTACGTGGCTATTGTGATGAAGTGCTCTCTTTCCAATATCAGACCTAGAAAGGTACTCCACTGTTAGTGTGTTCCTTCCTCTTTTACCTTTCCTTGCTACCACTCATTCCTGATTAGCCCAATCCAAGGTGTTGGGTAGGATCCCTCTTGGTTTAAAGGGTGCTTACTTGAGAGTAAGGAGAAGGTGATCCACAGTCAGCCAGACAATTAGCTGTTCTCTCCCTTCTTTAACTTCCATGGTCCACATGAAAAGAAACAAAATTCTAAAGAAGAAATGTAAGAATCCAGCTCAAGCCGAAATGTAAGAATCCAGCTCAAGGCGAAGTGCTATTAATTTTCTTAAAGGGGGGGGGGAACTCAGCTTTTTTAAAAATCCCAGAATTGTTTATAACTGAATAAAGTTACTGAAACAAAAAAGAAAAGAGAAACTTGATATGGACTAAAATAATAATTTAAGAAATGCAGTACAAGAGTTCTGTTCTACCTAAATGTATTGTGAGTTGTGTGCCATAGCAAATAATCTCACATAGACACCAGGGTCCCTTAGGCTTTCAAAGAAGCTTCTCTTTTCCTGTTCCAACTTGGAGATAAGGGATTTTATACCTAAAATGGTGTGCTGTTCAAATCAGTCTGATGTAATGATTAACAGCTGTGAGGTGATCAGTGACAGAAAATTCATGTAGATAGAAAGAAAGGCAAGAAGGGGTGGGGTTTGCCATAAGAATGTCAGAATTAGCAAGAATGTGGCTGATAGTAAAAGATTAACCATATCTTGTCAGAACAGCCTTTGGGCATGGAGAAGGGAATGCTGTTTGGGACGTGATTTGGTGCATGAAATGGAAGCTGTTGTCCCAGCCACTGTACAGACTTTTTAAAACTGGTGGGCATATCCAGATGTTTTCTGGCCTATCTTACCACCTTAAACAGCCCTAATCTCATTTGATTTTTGAAGCTAAGCAGGAAGCAAAGCAGCTTGCTTAGTACTTATATGGGAAACCTGGCGGCCACAAAGAAACACCGGATATCTTTAGGTAAGACAAGGAAATCATAGAATCATAGAGTTGGAAGGGGCCAATAAGGACATTGAGTCCAACCCCTGTTCAGTGCAGGAATCCAAATTAGAACAGGTATAACAGAGGGTTGTCCAATTTTCTCTTTAATGCCTCCAGCACTGGAGCGCTCATCACCTCTCAAGGTAACTGGTTCTGTTCTCATATTCCTCTAAGAGTTAATAGGTTTTTCCTGATATTCGGCCTAAATCTGGCTTCCTGTAGCTTGAGCCCTTTTATTATGTGTCCTGTGTGTGCTCTGGGATGATCGAAAACAGATTTTGCCCCTCGTCTATATGATAATCTTACAAGTATTTGAAAAGTGCCGTCCTATTTTATTTATTTATTCGATTTTTACCCCACCCCTCTAGACAACGTCTACATAAGTTATTTTCCCTTGGACTTCTTTTCTGAAGGCTCAACATGACTAGTTCTTTCCTCATAGGGTTTGGTTTCTGGTCATCTGATCATCCTTGTTGCCCTTTCCTGAACTTGCCCCAGGTTATAAATAATCCTGTTGGAAGCCATGGAGAGATGCTGCCAGTCAGAGCTGCCAGTATAGGGCTCCATGTATGAATAATGACCGTAAGGCATGTTCCTAGCTGCTATCCTGCCTAACCAGTATAGCCAATAGTGAGGAATTTAAAAACACTTGGAGGTCCATGGTTGCCTGTTGCATCTTGTTTGGTAGGTACAGTAATAGTGTAACTCATTACAGCAGGATTGGGGAAGCTGTGGCCCTCCAGACTCTCTACTGTGCTGCATCCCAAAACCCCATACAATGGGCCAGTCAGATAAGTGTGGTGGGAGTTGAAGTCTAGGCTGGCTCGAAGGTCAAAGGTTCCATAGTCTATGGGTTTTATACATTGTAGTGGAGAAATTCTGGCCCTCTAGAATGGGTTTGCCGACAACCCCACAGTCCCTTGCCATTAGCCGTGGTGGGTCCTAATAATGGCAAAATTCAAGGTTCCCCACCCCACCACGGAGAACATATTAATTTCCAGATATTGCTGGACTTTCTTTACCCCTCTCCGGTTGAAAGGAAGTCATAACCCTTGCAGTCCAACCAGCTTCACTTCTAGAGAGCTAAAGAAAGCAGGAGTGCTCCGTAGTCAGAGAATAATCCAGTAAAAGACAGACGGATTATTTAGCTCAAGATTCAGGTGTTTTATATCTGTCCTGGTACTTTCCAGAGATTTTGAAGTCATCTCCCTGATTGTTTACAATGCCAGCAAGGATGTATAGTTGTGTTATTCAAAGGATGTGACAAACCTGATTAGGCATCTTTCAGTCTCGAGAGGTTAGGGTAACGTGCTCTAATAGAGGAGTTGGAACAGGGTCTAGTGCACATTCAAAGGATGTGACAAACTTGATTAGGCATCCTTCAGTCTCAAGAGGCTAGGGTAACACGCTCTGAATAGAGGAGTTGGAACAGGGTCTAGTGCAGCCGAGAAGGCCAATTCGAGATGAGACAAACCATGTTGCTTATCCTTGCTTTATGGGGAAGAAACATAGCTCATTCAACAGAACTCATGCTTTGCCTGTCCTGATTCTTTATGTGATAAATGAATTAGGAATCTAGCATCTGCTGATTTATTAATTTAAAATATTTTAATCCCACCTTTCTCCTTAAAAAGAACCCAAGCCCAAGGCATTTGTTTGAGTCTTAATATGTAGATGCTATTGCCAAATGAGAGTACAGTGATGCCTCGCTTTATGATAGATGTAGATGCTACTGCCAAATGAGAGTACAGTGGTGCCTCGCTTTACAATTGCCCCGCATTACAACAAATCCGATTTACTACGATCTTTTTGCGATCGCAATTGTGATTGCAAAACAATGGTCTAAATGGGGGGATTTTGCTTTGCGATGATCGGTTCCCTGCTTCGGGAACCGATTCTTTGCAAAACGATGCTTTTTAAACAACTGATCGGCTGTTTCAAAATGGTCGCCGGGTAACTAAAATGGCTCCCCGCTGTGTTTAGGGACGGATTCCTCACTATACAGGCAGCGAAAATAGCCGCCGTATGGAGGATCTTCGCTGGACGTTGAGTTTTAAGCCCATTGGCATTTCAGTGGGCTTTTTATTTTCGCTTTATGATATTTTCACTTAATGGCAATTTTCCTGGAACGGATTATTGCCGTTAAGCGAGGCACCACTGTACTATGTTTAATCAGGATAGATGGTTGTCACCTTTAAGAGGTTTCTGGACTGTAGTTCTAAGAATCCCTCTAATTGGCTATGATAGGCAAAGCCGATGGGAGCTGTAGATCAGGAAGGTCTGGAGGGCCACAGTGGGCACCCCTGTGCTGGAGAAGCCGGTGTTTGGCAGCTTTCTACAATGTCATGTCATTTGTGCACATTTACTTCCCTTTTTTAAATCTCACATCATTTGCTCCTGCCTGTCTTTGCCCAGGTTGTGTGCCTCTGGATCCACAAATCGGTCGGAGCTTGGAGGAAGGAAAAGACTTCCTTCTGGAATTCCCCAAGAGTTTAACCTACCCTGCGCTAGCCGGTATTGCTCAACATATCTTGACTGGAATACCCAACCGCAGTTCCTGAGCTGGGAGGCAATCTACACTCATCACTAAGAGAAAGGAGCTGAGTTGATCTGGAAAACAGCTCAACAGCCCAAGGAGAGGATCTTCGGACAGATCAAATTTAAAAGGGGCGTGATGAGCAAAGCATGGCCCTTGGCGTCAGAACCTATGTTTTCTTTCTTGATCAGTGAATGCCACATCTGCCTTGAAGCAGCCAAGTCTTTACTTGGATATTTAAACATATTGTCAGCTTTTTGCTGGCATAAATTTGGGTCAGGCATGGCACCCCAGACTGCGTGGCATAGTCATGTGTGCAAAAGCCTTGTTTGATCTGTGTCACTTTTAATTCCATTTCCTTGTTGCTGAATAGAAGCAATTATGACTCAGGAATTATTGGTAAGCAATATTCTATATTTTGTTAGGATTATGGCATGCACATTTGTCTGTTTATATCTTGTCTCCTGTTTTTTAGGTACGATTATTAAGACATGCAGAACAAAAATAAAAGAAAAATAAAAACAAAAGTATTGTGGTATCATGAAGATAACATCAATACCATATTGCTAGTTCCTGTTAGAATGCACCTGTTTACTAGCAAAAATTTATATACAGCGGTGCCCCGCATAGCGACGTTAATCCGTTCCAGGATTAACGTTGCTATCTGGATTAACTAAGTTATTTCCATGACCCCAGATATATTATGTTTTACTCTCTTAGACTGACTTCTCCAAGCTTCTCTGTTTTCCTTTTTTTTTTTTTTTTTTTTGTCTATAACAAATATTACAGTAATTGGCCTATAATTAGAGACATTACTTTTTTGGACAACAACTTCTAGAATACCTCATTTAATCGTATAATAGCCATCCAGATGGCAGTGCTGGCTGGGATATAAAAAAAGCAACAAAAACTTTTCCCTATCCATAATTTTCTGGAACTTCCCTCTCGTAACAGAGATCCTGCTGTAAACGAATTGGCTGCATTGCCTCCTTTCTAGTCCTTTGATACAGGGGTGAGTATTAGGGAGAAGTTGAATTTTTTTGTTTGTTTGATTAAGAATTTCTTATTTACATAAAGGGCTCTCATCCATGCAGATATAGTAATACTGTATACTTAATTTTTCCCCCTTTGGCCTAAATCCTTAGAACTTATTTGACTCGAACCTTCTATGAGAGATGGCTAGGAGAGAAAATGACTGAACACCCCCAGGAATCACCTGCAACCTCCAGCTGTAACCACTCATCCCTTTGCATACAATTCACTCTTAATTATTCAGCCACCTCCCTGACCAGTAGAGGATTATTTCAAAGCAGAATTTTTACACACACGCACGCACACACACAAACCTGATTGCCTGGATTAGCAGAATTTAAGGAATTTGAACTGCAGGTCAGACATCTAAAGAGTCTTAATTTCTATTAGCCTGGATGTATTCCCAAGTGCTAAACTCTTTTTATTGTATTTGCTCAGTTTACAGTGTGTCTGCCTGAAGAGGTGGGGGCTGCCCGTCTGTGTCTGCTTGAGCTCACCCTTTTCTTCTTTGAAAAGGAGTTGCAAAATTCAGTCTGAGCCGAGGGTGGGAAACCCTCCTCTCTTAGTGCAATGCAAGAGACATTTTCCTGCCGAAAGGGAGACGACGGCGATCCAGAAATCATCAGACTACACCAGGGGTGGGGAATTAATTTCTATAGGGGGCCCCATGAAAAATCTGAACTCTGTTCGGGGGCAGAACCAACTTAACTTAAAAATAAAAGATAAGCAACTGATCAACTTTAGACAAAAAGCTATAAATGGTTTTGATGTTCAACTTGTTCAGTGAGAGAAATCCAGTCTGTCTTGGGCTTGAACAAGTGCTTGAACAAAGGACTGGAGCGACGACCGGCGGGCCGGACAGGAGCAGCTCGTGGGCTGTATGTGGCCCTCGGGCCACACTTTGCCCAGGTCTGGACTACATCTTTACCATTGGCCATGCTCAGCACAGCCAACAGGAACTGAAGCCCTACATCCTGTTTTCTCGTTCTGTTCTCCTGCACACGCCGAACAGAAATGCACAATGTGCAACAATGTTTGCTCATTGCCCTGGATTATACATGGGATGGTCTCTGTTATCGGTGCTGTATCTAAAGAGTTATTGCTTGGGATGATTGCTTCCTTAAAAATGTGACTAATTACTTGTTATAAACATTTCTAATGAGTTAATAACATCAATTTCTTTTGCACAAAAAAGTCTAAAAATCATCCCCAACCCCCAAATAACACTTCTGAAATAACAAGTATTAGAAATAAAATATTACCTAAACAAAAATCTGACTATTAACATAATTGTCCGTAAATGCCACTGTGTTGTTCCTCCTCACTCAATAGAGAGAGCGAAATAGTAACCATTGGCACCGCACCCCACCCTCTGAAGTGAATAAAACAGATGGGGGGGGTGACAGGGCAAGGTGGAGGTGTCACGGCCAAAGGCCTGTTTGCCCATGGTCGACCACACAGTAAAATTACAAGGGATGCTCTTACCTACTCAAAAATGAGGAAAAACCCATTCCACCAAGAAATGACAGATAGGGGATAGAGATACAGATACTGTATACGGAATGCTATCAATGGACACTTAAAGTGCAGTCTCAAAAACTGCTGCCCATGAAATAAAAGTCTACCAGATTTCCCCACAAGGAAAAAGCAGAACAAAGAGTGCCGTTTATATGCCGGCTCATAGTACTTAAAGCACTCTCTGCGTGGTTTACAATTCAATTATGCAGGCTACACATTATGCCCCCCCGGGGCAAACAAGCTGGGTATTCATTTTACTGACCTTGGAAGGACAGAAGGCTGAGTGAACCTTGAGTCGGCTACTTGGGATTGAACCCCAGGTCGTGAACACAGTTTTGGCTGCTGTGCTGCAGTTCAACCACAGCAGAAGACAGAATCTGGCCACCTACCCTTTAGTCTACTGCCCAACTAAGGCTAACTACTGAAGGGCAGCTTCAAAGTTATTTTTACGTTTCTTTTTAGGATTAGTTATCTTTAAACATTATAAAACATGCCAGGAAATTATAACGACAGCCTCCAGATCCGCTCTTAGAGCCACCCTTTTCTTCCTGAATAGAGTGCATGCACTTTAACTAGGCAGAGCATCCTCAACTTTCCTTGTCCCTCAACAGCAGCATATTATCAATGCTCCATTGCATCTGGCTGCAGTGCCTGGAAATTTTCCTTTTCTTGAATATAACTCCCAGAATTTCCCCACCAGGAATGCTGGGAGTTGTGGTTCGAAGAGTTAACCCAAAGTATGCAGCCAAATTCCAGCAGGAAGGAGGAAATCACCTCCTTGTATCACATAGGTAGAACCTTAAGACCAGTTTCTCTGGACAAAATTAAGTAGTATTAGTTGATGCCCAAGGGAGTTCACTTCGTAGCCTTGGGAGGGGCTATTAGGTGTCCCAATACAAGGGGAGAAACGTGCTTTCTGGAAGAAACAGTAAAGAAGAATTAATTTGCAAGTGAAGAGACCTCTTCAAACTCAGCCCACATGAAGGAAATCCTGTTGTTGTGCTTTGTGGAAGAAACAGTAAAGAAGAATTAATTTACAAGTGAAGAGACCTCTTCAAACTCAGCCCACATGAAGGAAATTCTGTTGAGTTTTTGTGGCCTGGGACAAGCTGTACACTCACCTAGCAAAAAGCCATGATAGACCATTTCTGAGTGCCCTCTATCTAGAAAGTCTTGAAGAGGGTCAGCATAAGTCAGAATTGATTTCATATCACACTATTGTTATTATCTACATGACTTCTTTAACAGATTTTGTCATAAACTCATATTTGAAAGGTATTAATGGGGGGCGGGGTGGAAGAATGCTTCATCATCATTTCAGGCCTGTTAGACACTTCCGGCCAATTGAAATGTATTTTAAAAATTATTTTTCAAAGGGTATCGATTTTGCAAAACAGCCAATTGATGCCCAAACAACTTGTAGCGTTGCTACATTTTATGTCTTTGCTAGGTTGCTTGTATGATTTGGCCACGTGAGTAGATGACACAAGGATCTAGTTCTATAGGTATGGTTTCAAGCCCCTGGATAATGAAGAAAAGGATCCAGAGATTTAGCAGAATCACAAAAGACAGCATTTAAAGCTCACATGCACACGTCTATAGTGGGGATACCTCTTTAAATGACAGATTCAACTGCAAAACAGCTAAGAGGAATTTAACAAGAGTTCAACTATGTATCCGTAGGCTTGAATAAGGACCAAAGATTTTTTTTTCACACAACATATGATGAAACCAGATCACTGGATATTTGTGTTATATCCCAACTACTGTTTGTAAATGACCACTACTGTATTAAGGTGATGATTACTCCTTGCATTTTGATACACTCTGATTTCAATGATTTCACCCATACATGCATGTCTATAATAACGCATCCACTGAGGCAACAACCCATCCATCTGGTAGAGTGGACTACACTCTGCAAGAGCTTGTGCCAAATAAAATTTATTAGTCTTCAAGGTGCCACCAGATTTCCTCATTGTTGCTCCTTCTAGAAAAGAAACCATATAAAAGCTTTCCATGCCCCCCTTCATGACATAAGAAAAAGTTCAAGCCTCCCACATGATTTAACTAAGAAGGATATAGTCAAATAGTAGATCCCATGATTTTCTGGTACCAGTTAACAGAAAACACTCTTCTTTTTTTGCAGTGGGAGTGATAGACAAGTTGAAGGCCAGCGGTTAGCAATCAGCAAAATGACTTTCTTGGATGTCCCGAAGGTCAAGTCCTGCAACTTCTTCTGGGCTAAGGCAAGTGATGTTGTTGTAGGCATATACAGGGGCATCCCCTTCCATGATAGATTGTGTGTAACGTAGAACCACGTTGGGATGCTGCAGAGCGAAATTTCTGAGTTCTTTCAGGGAGCAGTTACACTGCCATTTGTTCCCTTCCAACCAAAGTTGGATGAGGGTAGGTGAAGATCTTAGCCAACTCATAGGGAAGGTTCTTAGTGAATTGTTCCTGACATTCAGATATTCTAGTTTGGAAAAAGATTGGAAGATGTTGCTGTCCAAGGTTTCCAGACAGTTGTTTGAGAGATCAAGCCAGGACAGGCGCAGAAGCGGGGCAAAGGCTTCAGGAGAGATTTCCAGCAACTGATTGGAAGAAAGAAGAAGGTATTCTAAGTTCTGGAGACCTGCAAATGGATTAGAAGAAAGCCGGCTCAGCTGGTTATGTTTCAGATCCAGGTCGAGAAGATCACGCAGATTGCTGAGGCTGTGATCTTCAATCACAGAGATTGTGTTGTGTTGCAAAAAGAGCCTCCGTAAGCTGGAAAGATCTGAAAACATTTGGGATCTGATCCTACTGAGGCAGCTGTTTTCCAAGTGGAGGCTATGCAATTGGCTAAGCCCCCTGAAGGTGAAATCCGGAATGGTCATGAGGCAATTCCCAGAAAGGTTCATCACGGCCACCTTAGAAAGCCCAAGGAATGCTCCAGCCCGGATCTCTTGAATGCGGTTGTCATTTAGAGCAAGGACCTCCAGTTGACCCAGCTTGTCAAATCCCCTTTCCAGCAAACCTCGGATGGCATTGTTTCCTAGTTGCAGTTCCTCTAGTGACAAAAGATCTTTGAATATTCTTGGCCCCAGGGCTGTGATAGAATTGCTGGAGAGACGTAAAACACGCAGGCCTGAAAGTCCCATGAACGTATCTTCAAAAAGTGTGGTGAGGCGATTCTGTGACAGATCCAACCATCTCAGTGACTTCATTCCCACAAAGGCTCGTGGGGCAATGGCATTGATCTGGTTATGATTCAGGTAGAGCTTCTGGAGTTTCTGAAGCCTGGTGAAGATGTTGCCTTTAATGCCCTTGAGTGAATTTCCACTGAGGTCCAATTCTCTCAATTCACTGAGGCTGTAGAACAGCTGATGCTGCAGATAGTGTAGCTTGTTCCCAGCCAGGATTAATTCCCTTAAGTTGGGTAGACTGTGAAACACTTTGTCTGGTAGAACCACCAAGGAGTTCCAGCCGAGGTTCAAATACCAGAGGTTACAAAGTCCAGCGAAGATGCCTTCTTCAATCTTGTTGAATTGGTTGTTGTTAAGATGAAGCGAAGCCAGGTTCTGCAGATGGAAGAAGATGTTTGGTGCCAACGACTTCAACTGGTTGCGTTCAAGGAGCAAGGAGTATAATCCTTCTAAGCCGTGGAAGGCCTGTTGTTCAATACTTCTCAACTGACTACCCTGCAGATTGAGAAATTCCAGGCCAGAGAAATTCCTGAAAGCCAGAGCTGGCAAGGAAGTGAAATTGTTGCCATCCAGCCACAACATCCTTACCGCTCTAGGTACATTTTCAGGCAGGCTTGTGAGCTTCCGCAAGCTGCAGTAGACACTCAGTTCATCGTTCCAGTCATCAAAACTACAGATGCATGGGCTGGGACACTTGAGGTTTCCGGGACTGGTGTGTTCATTGTTGGCTTCTATTTCAAGCTGCTGAGAATTCGCTGCCCATGTCCAGATGAGGGTCAACATCAGTACCACTTCTGTTTGACAAATAATGTTTAAAAAGCTGTCAAACCAAGTCAAATAAGCAGGGGTGGTTTTAATAATGCACATCGCTCTTGAACAATGTAAGCATAATAAAAAGTCATGGTCAGTGCACCTATGCAGAGGCTCGCACTCCGTAAGGCAGTGGTCCCCAACCTTGGGCCTCCAGATGTTCTTGGACTTCAACTCCCAGAAATCCTGGCCAGCAGAGGTGGTGGTGAAGGCTTCTGGGAGTTGTAGTCCAAGAACATCTGGAGGTGCAAGGTTGGGGACCACTGCCGTAAGGGACTCAGTGTTGATATCAACACAGCCATTCTCCCTGCTATCTTGTCTGTTCCCACATCCTCCCTAAGCATGTCAGCAGTGGGAAGAGCAAGGATGGGTACTTGAGTTATGGGACTTGCCGTCAATTGGACTCAAGTCACACCAGTGACTTGACTCAAGTTCAGCTCAGTTTTTTCCCCAATGACTTGGACTTGGCTTGTGGCTCTGACATCCACCTACACGCCCACCCCTACTTTTTTTGGGGGGGGCTTGCTTTTAATAGGGGCTCAGACTTAGGGCCGAAGACATGGACTTGGGACTCGGACGCAAAGACTTGCCAACATCCCTGGGTAAGAGAAATTACTAAGCATCTCTTTCACCTTGTTCTTTTCCATGGGGCAACGAGATGAGCTGAGCAGAGGGAGAAGGCGATCATCTGGGGAATAGTAACGTTACCCCTGCTAGCCTTTAGTAGTGTTGGGGCAAAACAACAGGCATTGTTCCTCAAGAAACAGTTGGGTTTTCTTATACTCCTTAAGGTCAAAGGAGGAGAAACTCTTTCAGCTCGAGGGTCAATTTCAGAAAAGCTAAATGGAGTTTCATAACAACCCGAAGAAAAAGAGTATATAAGCATAATTTTTCTTAAAGCTCTTCCTACCAATAGCTAAGCCTTAGTAGGGGTCAGGGGAGAGACTACAAAGTCTGAAAAACCACGAAACAGCTATGTCACCAGACAGGCTATGCCAGCAAGCTCAGAAGTGCAAACTGAGCCCATGGACCTGAGATTTATCATGTCTGCTTTAGGTTAAGTGAGGAAAATTGATCTAGTTTCAAAGCTAAGATAACTCGTAGCACACATAGGAGACAGCCAGTTCTACTAACTATTTTAATTGATTAGGGATGTAAGAGGTATGCAGATAAAAAAGCAGGCATGATCTTATCATAGTCATACACAGAGAAGACCTATTGAAGCCAATCACTACAGACAATACTCAAGAGGTCCTGAGAATAGCAGTGTGGCTTGGGAGTTGAAAGTCCTACGTTAAATTCCTCACTTAGTTACGAGTCTCATTAGATACCCCTGCCTCAACTTTCTTTCCTCTGTTTCCTCTGACGTCAGATTTCAAACTGTGAGCTCCTCAGAGAGATACCATGTCCTCTGTGAAGCTCCATCCTTAAGTGGTGCTGTAGAAATAACAATAACAATTACAAGTGCCTTCTCTTGGAGAACTAAATAGAGAAGGGGTGCTGAGAAGAACAAAGTACATTAGTCTTCCCAATCTACAGCCTCTGGTTCTGTTGACCTATAGTATCCACCATCCCAAAGTAAATTTCAGCTCTCTGATCTCTTTGGGAAAAGGCCGGGATAAAATTATAATGATGGCGACGAAGCAGCATTAGCTGCTCTTTCCTTGGGGAGCAGAGGCAATAGCTATAACTCCAAAATGCTTAATTCATATCTCAATATGTGACAAGTTTCCTGTAAATTATAAAGGATGACAGGTTCCCATTAATTCCCTAAAAACAATAAATTATGTTTATTGTTCCTATCTTCAGAGGTTTCTGTTTGTTGTTTTCATGATTTAAAAAAAAGAGTTTAAACACATGGGTGGGAAACCACAAAGGCAGTCATGAAAGAGGATGTGGGGTATACACCCCACTGCCCTGAAAATTCCACAACATGGTCTTTGTGCTATACGAGGGGGTGCTGACAAGTATTGAGATCTTTGTGCTATACGAGGAGGTGCTGACAGGTATTGAGCCGGAAAAAAAAATTGAGCTAGGAAGCTGTAAATTACAGGGTGTATTGGCCTATTTGTCTATATTCGATGATGCAAAAACCAACTACCTATGATTTTTCAGGGAGTATTGACGTACACAAAAGCAGCAAAATCAGGGAGCTGGACAGGGAAGAGATTGTATTTGTCTTCAGGGTGGAAGGGATGGTCACTCTCGACCATCCTCAGCCACACTAGATGCAGTTCCAAGTTCTCCATACAGAGCACATTACCATAGTCTCTCGAGACTGTACGATGCCTAATTAAATTGGCCTATTTGTCTATATTCAATGGTGTAAAAATCAACTACCTATGATTTTAATTTATCTTTCATTTTTTGGTCCAAAGTGAACATGGCAGCACCTCCAGAAAAGTTCAATGTGGAAGAGCATAGGACCATAACCGAGTTCCTCTTTCTCCAAGGGAAAGGTGTGAAGCAGATTCATGGTGAAATGTCACAAACTATGGGTGACAGTGGCC